CGCCCTTCGGGATGCCTCCAGCTCCCCCACCGCCTCCACCACAGAACTAGACTTGTTTTTTTTTTTTAAGAAAATATATATTATATACATAGAGAGTTGGTCTCGTTTAAACACACGCCGAACCTCACCATATGGAGCCAGACATTGGGATGCACGCATGTGATTGTGTGTGCACGCATGTGTGTGTGTGCACGCACTGGGCTGGGCCAAGTGACTGTGGACTCGCTTGGAAATGGGCAGGTGGTAGTGAGGGCGCCAGCTTGGGCTCTCCTGGCGCCCTGTAGCATCGAGTGTCTTCTTTGTCTTCTCTCCTCACCCAACTCCCTTTGCCTCTCCCCAAACCGGGCCACCAGGATCCCTCCCCGCGTCAGCGATGGCCCGAGCCATGAGAGTGAGGACTTTCCGCGCCCATTGGTGACCCTTCCAGGCAGACAGCCTCAGCAGCGCCCCTGGTGGACAGGATGGTTCGGCAAAGCAGCCTGAGTTATTTTTGTGGACGGAATCGGAACACGCTGGCTCCATATCGTGAAATTTTTATTAATTTTTATCTTTTTCCTTTGTTATTTCCTTATCTTTTCCTTTCTTCAGACTCCGTCCAAGGAGATGCTCTCCCCGGTCTTCTGCTGCAGATAGAATCCTTTACCTTGTCTCCATTCCTCTCTTCCCAAGGAAAGAGGAGCAAATGGTTTAGGCACAGACTTTGGCAATTAATGTCAGGCTTGGGTTTGTGGGGGTGGGTCCTGTGTGTGGTTTATCTTTGCCACCTTTTAAAGTGTCTTGAGAATTCTGACATTGCTAGAAAGGGTTAATCCAGCCCTGGGATTCACATCTTCCTGCACTCCTGCCAGCAGTAAGGAGACGCCCAAGCCACCATAGGTCTGCCTGCCAGCCTGGAGTCTCTGATCACCTAAGCTGCTGCAGATACCATTTGCTTCTCTCCTTCCTGGAAAGCTTCCCTTTATGTTTTATTTTGACCCCAGATGTTCAGATGTTTTGCAGTGTCTGGGACTTGTGCCCCGTGTTCTTTGTTCTGCTTCTTTGCCCCCTTCCCTCTTCATGGAGTGATTATGTTGACAATAATGTGTAATGCGCGTTCTTTTCACTGGTTTATCTACAGAAATTTCTCTGGGCTTTTTTTCGGTGTTTGATTCAACACTGCGCTTAAGTGGGGGGATGTTCCATTGAATAAAAGAGCAGTGTGGTTTTCCGGGTCTGTTTCTTTTCTTTCTAAATCTCCTTTCTCCCACCAGCAGTACCAAAGTTCCCCCTACATAACTCGTTTTAACACTTGGCCCAGCTCCTACCGCCCATATGTGGGGTGGTTTCACCCATACCCTGTTTCTACTTGATGTAACTTGAGTACTAGGCTCACTCCATATCTAAGTCGTCTCTGTCATTTTGGGGGAGTTTTCTTGGGGCTCTAACCTCCATATTTGATGAGCTCCAGTTAAGATTAGTGTCTACTGGCTGCCACCTGACTTAAAGACCTGGGCCTGGGGAGGCATCAACACTAAAGGTCAGGCCAACTAATCCTGCTTGTCAGGCATAGAGCTGCTAAAATTAAAACCGCCAAGTGGCTTTTTCTTTCTCTGCTGGTGGCTCTCAGCCTGCCAGCACTGCAGGCTTTAGGGAGGAGTGCTGGGGGCGAAACATGGTGCCTTGTGCTTTAAATGGGCACCTCTGCATAGGGTCTTCTGCAGCCTGTTTTATTTTGGGTAGCAAATAATACTGAGATGGCACCTGAAAATTTCTCCCTTTGTAACAGGCAGCCAGGTCTTTGGGCAGCTCCTGCAGCTGTTGCTGGGTAGAGCTTTACTGCCTGTCTGCCTAGTAGCTTTCTTGCAGTTGTCACAGCCCACCTTTAGTAGAAATATTCCCTAACAGATTCTTTAACTAAGGGTTTTTCCCTTTGTCCTTGATACTTAAAGTGTGGAGGCAGGGCCTGGCCACCCTCTTTGACCTTGGCTTCACCTCATTGCTTCCCTCAGAATCTTGGTTTCCCTGGTGGGCTCATTGGGCGGTTAATTAGCTCTTTGAAGCTCTGGAAGCGGCAAAGTGGCGCTATGTGGGTTTTAGAAATAAAATCAATAAATGACTTAACCACGGCTCAGCTATCCTCTGGTTTCCCAGGGTGGGGGGGGTTAGTATGCTCCTGTGATACCCTCATCCTGCTCACCCTGCTGCCAGCCTTTGTTTCCGAGAGCAAGCTTGAAGGCCCAGCTATAGCAAGCACTTGCCGGTGCTGGTATTATTTGGGAGGTAGGAAACACCCACTTGGCCTATGGCATCTTAGGCAGAAAAGGCCCAGTCCTGTTGTGTCAGGGCTGTGCCTCACTTGATGCAGTTTCTGATGATGGCAGCATAGCCCTACCCCCCTGATGTTGGGCAAGGAACATGCCAGGTAGAAAAGGTCAACATGAGGTCCTTGTTTATTCCTGAAAACTAAGACAAGTACTTTGTAGAAACAGAACATTGGTCCAGGTTTCTGGTTAGAAACTCAGTCTGACATAAACAACTCCAAGTTGGTCTGGGTTAGATGTGTTTTCAGGGTTCTGGGAAGTAAACTACCCATGATCTGAGTAAGGGTGGAGATAGGGTGAAAGACAAACAGGTATGTTTGAGCTTGCAAGTCTTAATGCTGGGATAAGGGTATGTAGAATAAGGACGAATCTCAGAAAGACCCTGGAGGAAGTCTCAGACCAGCATGTGTAGCCTTCAGACTTTGGCAGGGGTGTCCAACCTTTTGGCCATGTCACGGTGTGGTCTACAAGTTTGTTGGACTATATTCATAGCTGTCTAGCTGGGTTGGATTAGAAAAGGGAGTGTGAGTGGGTAGGGGCTGGGTTGATAACAGGGAGGAGCAAGCCTGAGGACTTGTGCTTGAGAACAGCAGCTCTAATGGGTGAGGTATTTTGTAGCAAAACTGAGTAGACTTGGAGGTAATAACAGGTTTAACATGACCCCAGTGTGTTGGCCACAATTGAGGTGTGAGTGGTAGTATGAATAACAAGCTATGGCTATTGGTGGATGGCTGCCAAGAAGCTGAGCTCTGGCCACCGCAGCCCTAGAAGTGCAGTAGGAGCCGTTGGTGGCTCACGCCTTTAATCCCAGCACTCGGAAGGCAGAGGCAGGTGGTTCTCTGTGAGTCGAGACCAGCCTGGTCTACAAGAGCTAGTTCCAGTTCAGCCTCCAAAGCCAGAGAAAACCTGTCTCAAAAACAAAAACAACAACAACAAAAAAGTGCAGTAGGAGCAGGCTGGAAATCAAGAAATGATGGTGCTATGATTTCAAGTGCTGCCAAGTATTAGGGCCTGTGTTAGAATCTGAAAGTACCAGGTGTAACACTTGGTGTGAAGATGGAACCCTTTAATTCCAGAACCTGAAGGCAGAATCAGGAAGATCTTTGAATTTGAGGCCATTTTAGTTTTAGGCCAGCCAGGGCTACACAACAAGACCCACCAAGTGTATATGGGTTGCATAAATTGTCAGTGGTGTCTTAGGGTTTCTGTTGCTGTGAAGACATACCATGGTCATGGCAACTCTTTCGAGCTACACATGTATAGCTTTGGAGGCTGTCCTGGAACTCGCTCTGGAGACCAGGCTCGCCTCAACTCACAGAGATCCACCTGCCTCCCGTGTGCTGGGATTAAAGGCATGTGCCTCCAACGCCCAGCTGGTCATGGCAACTCTTACCTCAGAGCTCACCATCAAAGTACACACTTCCTCCAACAAGGCCGTATGCAGGCCACTCCCCTATGAGATTTTTATGAAAGAAAAGTGCCACAAAATTGGGTGAGTATGGATGGATATGAGATGAAATGAAATCCTTAAGAACTAATAAATCTAGATGTGAGATGAGCAGTGATGGCACTTTAATCCTAACACTTGGGAAATATGACAAATGGATTCCTAAGCTCAAAGCCAACCTAGTGTATATAGTTTCAGGTCAGCTAGAAGTATGGTAGTGTAATTTACCTAAAAAACCATTGTGAACCAGAGCCGCCATTGTGTTTTGATACTATAGTGATTCAGTAGGAAAGAGAGCTTGCTACACAAGCATGCAGACCTGACTTCAGATTCTAGGAACCCATGTGAATTGGCACATGCACCCATAATTTAGCTGTTGGGACAGGAGAATAGATGGAGTGCTGATCACTATCCTGGCTCTAGTTTCAGTGAGACCCTGTCACGGGAGTAGGTGGAAATTGATAAAAACAGGATATCTCACCTCTAGCATGTACACATACAGAAATCAGGGAGGCTCTAAAACAATACAAACTGATAGCTGCTGTCTGTTCAGAACTAGATGGCAAGACTAGGGTTGATGTACCACATAATCACATGACTGATCAAAAGCTGGAAGTGGATATGGAAGCCATGTAGTGCTAGAAGGTACTATGCAGGCCGATGGGGAAGAATTGTCACCAATTTTACTCAGCAATTGGACTCATGCAATAGGAACAAGTGTCAGAGGTTATTAACCACTTTGAAACTTCAGACTTCCACAGGAAGAAATTTACATCTGGTACTGTAAGCTGAATTACTTGCTCATGGTTAGGGAGGTTATAGGCCTTACTGAGGAATTGGCTGCTGTAATTTTGTGAAATGGACTGGATGGTCTCATCAAACTGCCTTCTAAATAATTGTGGCTGTAGGTTAGTGTTGGGGTATTTAATTCACAGAGATCTGCACACCCCTTGAGTCCTGGGATTAAAGGTATGTGCCACCATGCATAGCCTATTTACTTTGAGATCTGCACACCCCTTGAGTCCTGGGATTAAAGGTATGTGCCACCATGCCCAGCCTATTTACTTTTTTACGTGTGTACATGTATGCCATGTGCCGTTTGTTGCCTAAGGATGGCAGAAGAGGGCACTGGATCCTCTGGAGCTGGAGTATAGGTGGTGGGGTTAGCTAGCTGCCTGACAAGGGTTCTGGGACCAAAACTTGACTTCCCAGGAAGAGCTCCAAGTGTTGCTGCTGGGCCATTTCTCTAGCCCATAAGCTTCATTTTACATGGGATGCAGGGGGCACAGTGGAAACTGCAGATACTCCTAACTAGTCAAAATACTGAGGATAAGTGACTTGAATGCTCTGTCATAAATGATATATCCATGTTACCCCAAGGCTTAGAGATCATGGCAAAAGGGGACAGAGAATATAGGAGCTGGTCAGGCGTTGGTCGCGTATGCCTTTAATCCCAGCACTCAGGAGGCAGGGGCAGGCGGATCTCTGAGTTCAAGACCAGCCTGGTCTACAAGAGCTAGTTCCAGGACAGCCTCCAAAGCCACAGAGAAACCCTGTCTTGAAAAATCAAAAAAAAAAAAAATACATACATACATACATACATACATACATATATATATATGCTGGAGGATAAAAGAGTGGGTGTTGTGGGGTGCCATTTTGGGGGCATGACATGGCCGTGGTAGCCTTGAGCTCCCAGCAGCTGTGATTACCTGCACAAGATCGATCTTGCCAACATCCAGTCATGGAAAGGGGAAAGATGCACAATGCCGTACTCTTCCATGATGATCTATGAATAGATAAATGGTTGCTGGAAGAGGGAAGAGACATTTTCTGCAGTGGAGTAGCCACTAGTAAGAAGCTCACAACTGTAACTCCAGGATCCAAACTCACTCCTACAGCTATGGGTACAGGCAAAACACCAATAAAAGAAGAAAAAGAGGTATGGGGAGTGAATATGATCAAAATACATTATATACATGCATGAAAAGAAAGCATCATAATAGTGCTAATAAACACTGGGAAAAAATGTATGAAAGACTAACGTGTCTGGTAAGATGATTGACTGGGTAGAAGCACAAGCCTGATGACCTGAGTTTGGTCCCTGGAACCCAAGGTAGAAGGAGAGAACCAACTTGCAAAAATTGTCCTTTGGCCTCCATGTGTGCCCCATATGTACCCCGTACTCATACCACAGTAAATACAATTAAAAAACTAAAAATGAAAGTAGAGGTGGGTGGGTGTCTCCATGGCAGAGTACTTGCCCAGTAGTGAGTGATATAGAGAAAAAGGTCAGTGCTGTATTCTGCATTTTCTAACTGGCTTCTATGTTTGATAACCTGGCTCCAGGAAACAGGAGCAGGGCCTTGAGCCCCTGTTAGGGGCAGAGGCAGAGCTTAGCCTGAAGACTTGCAGGTTAGGCCACACACTGAGCTGTTTGGGGACTCCAGAACTCCTGCC